ACTCCTCTCCTCTCTCTCCATCTCTCCTCCTGTCTCCTCACTCCTCTCCTCTCTCTCCATCTCTCCTCCTGTCTCCTCACCCCCATCCTATACCTATTACGTGTTCTGTGTTGTCAAGCCCACCTATCTGGCTGTGCACCGATACCCTTTTGCAGCTGTAGGGGTTTCTCAATGTAAACGAGCAGATGCAAGCGCTATATCCTTACTGGCATGCATGGTGTTCAGCCCTGCCCAGGGCAGTGTCCAGCTCTGCCTGTCCAAAGGGATTGCTCCAAAGCCAGCTTATCCCGCAATGTGCTGTTTGGGAATGGAGTAAGAGTTAGAGGACCGTTCCTTTAACCAGGCAGAGAAAGTCATCAAGAAACTGGCTGCACTGTGCCAGTTGTCCAAATACCTGGAGAGATCTTTTCTGAATGAGCCCCATATGAGTACCCATCACCTGGTCTTTTCTGTGTTCTCCGTGCACAAAAGAACAGTTGTTTCCATTTGTTCCATTCTGCTGCTTCAAAAGATTTAAAGAAGAGGGGGGAAGGATATAGATGTTGCACCACGTATTGCTACCGGGTGCAGTGCAACGCTTTTATGTTTCCTCCGTCCACATCCTGTTACTGAAGCTTAGAAGTCTGTTTTCCCAAGGTTTGATCTTTGTTTTCTTAACAAGCGCAGTAGATACCCAAGGACACCCCCCTTGCAAACCAGACCCCCCTCACCCCACTCTTTCCCTAATCCAACACTTTCCAGCGTCCAATCCCGGGATCCCGGTCAGATCCCGCAGTGGCGTGTCTTCCTGTGACACTCCCAAGCGCACGAACACACCGTTCTGTTCTGCGCTCGCTAGCTCGGCCACAGCCCCAGCCACGCCCAACACGATCGATGAGCAGCCCGTCTCTGCTTGCCAGGGTCACCCAGCTCCCCTGTATCCAGAGCGTGCCCTCGACCCAGTGTCTGGACTAGGGGAACCCCAGTGCCAAGCCCGAGTGTGCTCTTAGAAAAGTGGTGTGATTGTGTGTGGGTGTGTCCGTGCCTCTGTTGGCTGGTGTGCTTTCCGTCCAGGTCTGCTGGTGCAGTCCCAGTGTCTCACTCTCTCTCTCTCTGCTGAACTCGGCTGAGCAGCATTTACAGAATCCACAACCGCATCCCAGATGCCAAGTCGGGAAAGAACGGAAGGGTCCCCAGGCATAGGGATGAATCCTGTCCGTCCCTACTGGTCCGTTTCTCGTACCTTGGCTAGGGAGGTCTGGAGTTTGGGCGTCTGCTGGCTTCACCAGGCAGGAGGGGGCAAATTTCCTGATGCCCGTTGAACGTTCTTATTTGACAAAGCGGGCACCCTTATCGCCTAGCCTGTACGCGGAGCTGCAGAAGAAGTCTCTGCCCAGTCCCGGCTGACCAGAGGGGTTTCAAGACGACGGCCAGCTCATTAGGGTTTATTTGGTTTGAAATCTGATTGATTTCATCCAGTTCTTTCAGAGTTGAGCCAGGGCGTTCAGGGTCGATCCAGTTCATTAAGGGTTTAGCCAGGGCATTCAGATTTGAATTAGGTTGTTCAGGGCTGACCCAGTTTGTTCAGGGTTTAGACAGTTCGTTCAGGGTTGACACAGTTCACACAGTCCGTTCAGAGTTCAGCCAGTTCGTTCAGGACTGATACAGTTCGTTCAGAGTTCAGCCAGTT